TGGTGCACATTCAACTCAATTAATGCCCTTAAAAAAGGTCTATTTATCTAAAATGTACCAAAAAGTAACTGATACTCGCTGATACTATTTTTTTTTACAGATGCAAGCAATCCTTGCTTACTCCTAAAATGTGGTACTGGAAAATTCCCTGTATTTTACAGGCGCATATATATGTACACACACATATATACGACAGTCAACAAACAACACATTTGTCAGAGAAAATAACTCAATTTTCTACAGACCACTTATTTCTGTCCTTCATGAGACCAACTCAGTTAAGAACACCTACAAAATAAAATCTGCTCTTTCACAGAACTTACAATTTATTAAACCCTGAAATGCAATTTTCTCAGAAATGCATTTCAGGGGTCAAAATTCAAGCCGATGTCCACTGTCACATTACACAGGTTTGGACTGGATTCTCTGTGGTTTTAGAAACTTTTTCGTTAATTGTGCATTGGGTAGAAGACGTGGAATAACCGACACACATAAAAAGTTCATGGACAAAGCTTATAAGGAAACATCGTCACATGGCTTACTTTCACTCTCTAAGCTCTTTTTTTAAATCCACTCCAAACTAAAACTGGTCCTAAAATCACGCTGTAAAGCCATACAACGTGCGATTGTCACCTCAGAGACTATTGTGTGTTCCCATCCACCATCTTCCTTTATCGCCCTCACTCCTTCCCCATCGCTCTCTCCATTTCAATATTGAAGAGAGTTTTATTAAGGGCTAGACTCGGGTGTGCTGAGGCCCTCTCAGTAATTTTCCTACAAAGTGCTTTAAACCATCGCGGGGCGAGATGGTGCCTTTGCACGCATACCACTTCCCAGCCAGGGGAGAGACAAGAAGCAGTTGAGGAGGGGGGGGAGAGGGGGTTACGTAAATTCTCGTCCGGCTCCTCCCCCCCTTTTCTCCTTTCTCTTCCCACAAGATTTTCCCCCCGGGAGGAGACCCCCATCTCCTCCACAATTTCTTTAGTCAATTCTTTTTTTTAAATAAAATTAGGCCTTGAGCAAAAATGAACCAAAAGGGGGGGGGGGGGGGGGGGGGGGGGGGCAGTAAGCAAAGAGAGAGAGAGAGAAAATGAAAGAGATGGAGATAGCCGTGAGTGAATGAGTGTGTGATGGAGAGAGAAAGAGATAAGGAAAATGGAGAAAAGCTTACTGGAATGAATTAAAATTGGGGACAAAAGCGGGTGAGGGGGAGTCAGAGGGTGTGTGTGTGTGGTGCATGCAATGTGTGCGCATGTGTACTTGAATGAGCAAATCGAAATAGGGAGGGAACAAGTGGAGATGGGGGAGAAAAAAAAAGAAGAAAAAAAAATTAAATAAAAGTGCCGCACTTCCCAGCATGCAGCTGGTGCAGCGTTGCCCTCTGCGTTGCCCCCGGCCAACACCTGGCTTTCCATTTCGCTGTCTCCACCCAGCCCGCGCCGAGGAGCGGCGGTGAACCCCGGGCAGCCTGACTAATGGAATGGGCCCTCTCGTCCAAGCATTAGAGGATTGGTGTACCTCTCTGCGCCCCCTGGGTGCCCCCCGGTACAGAAAAGGGAGAAGACGGGGCGAGGGAGAAGACTGTGGCGCATTGGCCTTTGTTTGCCACACACACACACACACACACACACACACACACACACACACACACGGCCTGTAACACATCATCCGCGGGCAGTCCGTCCAGAGTAAGGCGAGACATGGCTTAAGAGTCTGACTGGGGACATTTCTGAGGGGGGGGGTTATTAGATATTCGGAGATGGATGCGGCGCTACGTGGGAGAACAACCTCTCTGAACGTGTGCGACAGCTGATCGCGACGCGTTTGTGGGATATCATTTAGACGGTGAATCCAGCGCTCTACCTCAATTACATCTGCTTTACTTAGATGGAAATAACACCTTGTGAGTACAGAGGGATATGAGGGGAGGGCAATGAGGAGGAGGGGGGGGGGCATGGAGCAGATTGAATCTCCCGATGAGCCGATAGCACGTCCGCGGACAGCCAGCCAGGCTGCGCTGCAGTAATGGTATGCTAATAATATGCTAATCTGCGAGCAGTATTCCACCTCACTGGAGAGAAGGGGAGTCTGGGAGGCCTTTCACCATCGGTTGGAGACCAGGGACTTCCGGAAGTCAGAGTTCAACACACACACACACACACACACACACACACTTAATTCTTGAAGCAGCGATCTCAGCTAAAATAAAAACAATGCAATGCATAGACCTAATCCGCCTCTAATCGGATTTGCAAACTCTTAAGTAAGCAAGAAATAAGACCTGTAAACAATGCAGCATCATGTGATGTAATAGAAATCTGGGTCGGCTTTATTGTAAGTAAGCCTGCAAGCTTCTTTTTGAAATCAGCGTGTGCCATCAAGCCGCTGTGCTGTTGTTCTGTGCCGGCATAAAGTGAAAGAGAAAATCATCAATTTCAGATAGCGATCAGGTTCTTATTTTCTTTGTCATTGTGTGTGGATCCCTGCACCTGTAATGGCTGCTATTACCTGCCTAGTCAAAGCATCCCTTTCTCTCTGGCTCATAATGATTGCATTAAACCGCCACAACCTTGGCTGGAGACGAGACTCCCCCTCGAACAAATGTAATCTTTGAATCCACGTCGGTACTGCCACACAGCCGCAATAATCACCAGCTCCCTGGGAGAGCTGCATTTGCCTTGTGTTTGGGTTTTTTTTTTCCCCCGACTAAAATGTGGCCACGTTTCACTGAATCACGATTTTACACTCCCATTTAACAAAAACAAGGAGCGGTGACAAAACTATAAGCCATCTTTAAACATTTCTAAATGAGCGAGGTGGAAGACGAGTCAGAGATAAACAGCATCTCTGACGCATTTACAATTCATAAAGAGACCAGGGGAAAGGCTCCAGTGAGTCTGCTACCAGAGACACCTGCGAAAAAAGCAACATCACAGCAATGCATCACAGCGGATCTGTGCGTGTGGCATGAAGACGTCATCGCGGGTATTTGGCTTTGTTTTTGCTCGGTGTTCCACAGTTGCAAAATGGATATGTCAAGTCTGCGCAGCGGCGAGACGAGATGACATTTTCCTGGATGCTGAACACTAAATCAAAGAGACCAACAGTATGTTGAGTGCCGGCATGGAGACATTTGATTCCCATTCCGCTCGTGCTGCATTACTGCTGGAATCCTCCCAAGCTGGAGCAGGGGATTGTCAGACTTTTCATTCCACTTCAATAATTACACACACACACACACACACACACACGGCAAATTGTCAAGTGCTGGCTTCTCTTTGATATCACTATATTTACAATAGGTTTGACTTAACAAAGGCGATTTGGTGTCAGTGACATTTAGCATCAGCCTCTGGCGACAGACAGGTAGGAGAAAACCAGTCAGCTGATTGGACCTGGTGGGTGGGGGGGGGGGGGGGGTGTTTTAAGCTCCTCTCACGGGATGTTGGCTTTGGGGGTGGATGTCTTATTAACACCCTTACCGCGTATCCTTGACAATGGATTACTGCAGGATCGACTGCTGCAGGGTTGATGCACAATTTTGCAAATATGAGATCAGAACATAAACAGAACCACACGGCCTCAACGCGCCTCGTTCGTATGTGAATTGATGTGTCTGAAATAATGGTTTTGCGTTTGTATCAAACATTACAGGGAGTCACTGCATCATCAGTGGTGTAAGCAAGAGCAGACAACAATGCAGGTAAAGGCAGAGGTGGTTGTGCGCATGCATGAGGGACTGGCAGAGAGGAAGACAGAGACGGGGGTGGACTGTCCAATACACTCGTGATAAAAGGTCAAAAAGATGTTTTATTCATGAACCAGGCAGCAGCGGCAGAGGCAGCGGGGCCAAGGTTGAAATGAGCTAGCGTCCCCGTTCCCCAGGGCCAGCGCTGCTCACAGCCTCACATCAGGCCGGCGGAACCTCCCTCCAACTCTTATCAATCATGTCAAAACACACACACACACACACACACACACACACACACACACACACACACAGACTGTACATGCCGGCCAAAAGAACACATGCACAATAGCCTTTAATCAATGAAGAGACACCAGATTTCATGGGGACTCTCGGAGAGGCTGGGTGTGATGGAATGTTTTCTGACTGTAGGGCTCCATCTACACCCAAATGTTAAAAAAAAACGTTTTGCTTTCGTTATTACCCAAAGAAGTGAAGTTTTGGGGCGTAGTTATTTTTTTGTTGGATTATGGAAGCGCTACGGACCAGATTAGGATGAATCTTGCTGGATGGCTGCATCGGCCAAAGAAGATATTGGAGCAGATCTGAATCCCACGGCGGATAATCAAATCATTGTGAGTTTAGTTAACAATGCGAGAAGGCCTCGGCGAGGTCTGCACTCTCCAACGTGCTGGAAGGGCGTTGCAGGGGGAAAGGAAGAACCCAGTACATTGGAGTGGATCCGAATCCTATTTACTCATATTCCTTATCCCAGGAATCTGTGTTGGCTCTTTGAAAAGAAGGAGTTCCTTCTTATCATTTCTGTCCACCTAACCAAGGCGACTGAACCCTTCTTGCTATTGCAGCCATTTTTTAGGTATAAAAGTAACCTTATATTATGGGTGTGGATAAGTTACACAAATCAAAGCAAATACCCAATCACCTCCAAAGCCTAATGCACATTTAATAGTTTCTCACATGCGTAAACTGAGGTTGGCTGGATAGAAGTGAGTGTGTACTTATGTGCACATTTTAGAGCATGTGTGTGTGTGTGTGTGTCTGTGTGGACGGCCCACTCTATGCAACTCTATGCATCTTTGATCAGATATGAAATATTCACAAACGTTGCTGTAATTTGAGGAAAGTCAGATGTCTCTCAAATAGGCAACAGCAGTCAGCACTTTGCCAGCTCTTTAAAAGCAATAAAAACATTTTTTTTTTAAAAGAGAAAAACTGAACCTGGATTTAGAAAATAGGAAATCCAGGCCCACATGTGGAGGCAAAAACAAGGGTCTCTTAAACACGCACTGACCCGCAGTATGAACTCCAGTCCGTGCTGCTCGGCCAGAGCTCTGGCGGCCGCGGGGCCTCCGTCCACTCGAAGCGCGTAGAAGACATGGCGGTTGGTCCCACGATGCCCCTCTGTGGTCACTGGATTCCTCTGCAGCAGCAGGCAGCCAACAACCAGCAGGGCTGCACTGAACATGGAGCCTTTGGAAATGTAAATGGAGGAGAAAGTGCAGAAAAACTTTTTACCAATTCACATCAACAATGCAGGTTGTGGGACAATTTGACAGCAATTTCCTCAATTGCATTACGATGTCCGGAGTGCGTTTGGAGAAGTATCATCAGTGCGACACTGGCATGAAAGCCATCAATAACATTTATTCAGTGAAGAGATGCCTTGCAAAAATGGCTGACATGACAGATTCTAGCAATATTTGTTTGCCCGAGAGTCCAAATCTCCAAAAGATAATGAATGTACTATTATATATGACAGGGAGAAGCATTGGATTATCACGTTTGAGACGCTGAATCGGTATGATATTCAACAGTAGTCAAACTGTGTATGCTCTGGCTCCGTGGCTCTTCACACCGAAGACTAGAAACGGACATTAGGAACATCTACATTAGAAAAAACAAACACCTACGATTTCAAATATTACCATAACACTCTGAATACGTCTAACTGCACAAATGAGTTGATCGAGTGTGGGATTGTGCATCCGAGCGCCGAGTATTGAACATTGGCAATCGTGAAGCAATTTGCCCACGGCCAACTCCTCTGTGCTCTGCCACCTACAGCCTCCCACCTGTAGCCCCGGAGAGTGGAACGTCCAGGAGAAATCTCTCACCCGGTGCTGATGAAAGCTAGAACTCTGGCACCGGGAGAAGAGGGAGACTAACGCACTCTCTCCGGCTCCCAACCCACACGTTTAATCTCCCGGCCTTGATGCAAATGCGGCTGAGAGCAGAGAAGCGGCAGCACTTTCCGCTGTGCAAACTAACTTTGCTCTTTAAGCAAAACAGGAACTTTTATCCGTGCTTCCTTTGAGCCGCCGCTTTCCTGTGAACGACAACGCCACAAAAAGCTTTCACCCGCAAAACGCTTCTCAGTACCGACTCAACACGGGGAAAAAAGCACCCGATGCACATTAGAAGAATAGTGCACCCCCACATGCCCCGCCCCGGGTTATGTCACGCACGTTAAATGTTGACCCGGGAGGTCGGTCACGGTCTTTATGCACACATTAGTTTACACTGAACGCGATTAGGAGAGCAATCATGGAGGTTGATGTGTTCGGGCGGGTGTTTTCTACATGTACAGCTCTTACACACTAACAGACTGCCTCGAATTAGAGCCGATCAATTGATTAGTCAATTGGCAAGAGGTCATCTTTTAATGGTTTAAGTCTCATTTCAAGCAGAAGTGCTTATAGCATTCTGGGGTTCCGGCTTCCCTGATGTCAACATGTGCCGTCTCTGTGCGAGTCTGCAGTCACATCAAACTGAATATTTTAGGATTTGTGACTCGGAGTCGCACAAAATCAGCAATCGGAATTTGAAAACAAGGCCATGCGATTTTTTTTTTTTTTACTATCTTTTGACATTTTACAATAAATAATTTATGGTAATTTTGCTTTTACCATCCAGGTGTTTTAGGAAACTCATTGCTACAACAACACTATATGCACAACCTGTAGGATGTATATTGTTCATAAACACAAAGTTTGGTTGTATAAATCAAACTGACCAAAAGCTAAAACCATTACAGAAAAAGGTTCGATCCATTTATCTGTCAGAACCCATACATACTCTGTAGCTCTTTGTACTACTACAATACCACCAGTACTCCTACTATATACCTCTTTCAGTAAGGGAATTAAGCAGAATACTGGCCAACTAATACTAAATTAAAGTGACTTGCCAAACAGCTGCTGTGTAATCTCACCGGGCTGCCAAAAATATGCAGCTCCATTCGATAGAAACAAAATCAGCAGATTAATTGATGAAGAAAACTAATAGTTAATTTTTAGCCTGAAACCATTGTTGATATGAAATGTATTGTCAGAAGTTGTGGGTTCTGTTGAGGCGGTTTCACTGCCAGAAACCCCCACTGACACAGTGTCTCCAAACTAGAAGATTAAGATCTCTCGCACTATATATAATTCTGTTTGTGTGTTTATCGGACTTTCCTTCAAAAGCAAAGTGCCTCCTCCTGCAGCAGCAGCACCCCCCCCCCCTTCAAACACAAAACAACAAACAGTGCAGCGGACTACCGTTTAAAGTCTGCAGCATCATTCAGCTCCAATCTCCCAGGCCACTGATTGAAATCGATAACCTCACAGGGGCTCGGGCCCCAGTCAATCCCAGTGGAGGTGCAGGGCCGCCAGCGTACACCCCACCCAGCGAGGAGCAGGCTTCGGGCAGAGATGGAGTAGACAGGGAGAGAGGGGAGGAGGGGGGAGGGTAGTTAGGCAGAGCACAGGAGAGCCACGTTGAACAGTGTCGGGGCCTCAGGCCCTCGGGGCCCTCTGGGACGCTGATAAAGTACCTGGACATTTTTATAGACAAACTACTTATTTCCGTCCTCATATCGCTCAGGAAGACTGATAACTTTATATTCCTCTCAGGCAGAATAATGAAATGAGGGAGGGGGCCCTTTCAGGAGTTTAATTGATCAAACTGTAGCCACAAGGTTTTTTTTTTTTTTTCTGGAGATAAAAGGGACTAGCAGTCTCCCCTGCACAATGTAGAGATCTTTTAGAAAGTAGATGATGGGGGGGAAAAAAAGAGAATGTAACTCATTATGCAAAGTCATTACAAGCCTCTGACCATGCTCCTTAAAAAAGGGGGCAGTTAATGGTTGAATTATATGGTACAGGATTTCCAGAGGTCAAACTACCGGTCATAGGATAACATTATTTTACTCTGTCCAGATTATTACAGCAACCAGAAGTTACCAAAGGCTGTTTTGAAGTCAAACTATTTAAAGTGTCCGACAAACAGTAAAATGTCGGTTCATAGCTCACTGGGCACGGGGACCAGGACGTGGTGTTAGCAAGCGTTTCCAGTTGAATAAGATAGAACTCGTTGTTCTTTGTCTCGCCAATTAAAACAATAAACAGTAACGGCATCAAACAATTTCCTCACGACTTTGGGGATTTTTTTTTTTGCCAAAATCTGGAACACGTTACCACATTGGGATACATGCAACGTTGAACTGAAGAGTCGACAAACCAGATGCAAACAGGCAGCGATTCATCACATTTAAAAAGAGGTGCACCTTGTTTGTTGGGATCTGCTTTTGCATGTGTTAAAAGTAGCAAAAGTCGCTGGGATACGATTAAAAACAGCAGTAAAAAGGGCATAGTGATAAACAAAAAGTGGGGTCCTGCTCTTGTGTGTTTTTTACATTGACTGTGCAGAAATGCCGTGTAACCCCCCCAGCAGCTGTCCTGTGGGGGGCCATAGCCCACGATCCATTATTATGGTTGGAAGGCAAAAGGTCTCGTGAGGAACCAGGTGTATCCTCACTTTAGCTCCGCCCATCTACAACATGCACGAGGTCCAATCAGGGAGAAAATGGACACCTGTGTGGTCGGCTTTTTCCGGACCATTATTGTACTTGAAAGTGGGTCCTCGTTTGGGAGGATGCGGTCTCTGTAGAACCCTCGCCCACACGTAAACCTCAGTAGTCACGCACTTAATTACGTTTATCAAGTCTAATTAAGTTTCCTATCATCGAATGTCTGTAAATCTCAATTTACTCAACATGGTGCGTCAAAGCTAGGAAACTGCCTGAAGGAGCGGGGGGGGTGTTTAGACCTCCCTCCATTTACTATGGCTTTGCAGTGATAGGAAAAAAAAAGAGTAAGCGTTTACCTTTCTGTTGGTGGCCACAGAGCCCTCACACAGACGGACTGTCTCCTGCTGAAGGCAGAGCGGGTTTTCGCTGCATCGCACAGGAACGAATCTCCCGACGCGTTCATTTTTATTGTCTCCGCTGACTACCGGCTATCAAAACGTGCACATTTAGAGCATGCAAAACAGCGCACCGATAGCGCCTCTCCGCACTGGGCAAGTCAAACGTGTAGAAATAACGACCCGTAAGTCGACAAAAGCGAGCTCATCCACGGCGAAGGGGGGGTTTTGGAAAGATGCGAGAATGCATTAGAATGCAAGAAACGGTGTGATGGCGAGGGGGACTGTAGGGAGAGACAGATCTGCATATGGAAATTCGGGTTAGCGTGGATAAAATTCGACTCGAACCGCTGCGTTATTTATTATTCATTTAGTCGAGAGCCCCGCGGTGAGAATGTGAGGGTCAAAGTAACTTCGGGTCTAAATAAGTCGTGGCAAGGAGCAGGTGAAACAATTTACAAGCACCTGTGCTCCTGGCGTGAGTTTCTATATATACATCATCAGATATATTTGATGCAAATTAAGCAAACTTGAACTCCGAGTGTATGTGATACCAAAGACCAGATAAACATATTAACAAACGTTTGCCTAATTAAACTATAAAAAGTCCAGTGAAGGTAAAGCAAAAAAGAGAGCTCGTCACTGTGACTTTGGAACATTTTTCTTTGCTCTTTCATAAAAAAAAGTCGACAAATTCGTTAAAACAAGCAAAATATAGTAAAAAAAAAAAAAAAAAGAGCGCATCACCACATGGCCCGCTAGTGCGGCGGAGGAAGCGTGCAACGGGGACACCGCTCGCTTCCTCTCGGGGTGACGCGGCGGGGTCACGCCCACTCCCAACTTCCGTCCAATCACTGGACACGCTGCGAGCGTGCGCACGCGCGCAATGGACGCGCGGGAGAGACCGAAAACCTAAACAACGCAGTCATGACAACCGCGTAACCTCCGCTCTTCGCTTTAGCTTTACGGAATAGTACACGACTCAACCAGCGAACGGTTTGTAAACTTCTCATAACATTCGCGTGTCTTTCGTTGCCGCCGTGTTTGGTTTCCCTGTTTGAAACGCTTCTGTCGTTGTATTAATAACGATATCAGTTCACGTTGCTATACAGTTTAACACAGACGTTTCCTTAAGAACCGAATACAACTTAAACACACACACACACGTTCTGGAGACAGTTAACACTTTATAATAAAAAGCAGTTATTTTACACAATGTGGGTTGCATTGTGAAATATCTGCTTTGACATCTAGCTAGCATGTGGCTACTGACTAGTTTTGAATCAAGGCTAGATCGATTGCCAGATGTTTTAGTTTAGCCAAAGTGTAAGCTAACGTGTGTTATCTCAATCCAAGGTTTTCTTCATTAAAGGTGCTACTGACAGCTCACCGGCACCATGGAGGACGACTTCAGCCAATCCCTAACCCCGCCAGTGTCTCCATTCGCATCAGGCAGCCTGTGTGAGCTGACCCCAGCCCGACCGCCGTGTTTCTGCTGCTCCGAGACCCAGCAGGAAGCCTCAGCAGCGCTCGCCCCTGATGGCTACGCCGCCAGAGGCTCCCTGAAACGGTACAGTCACTGTCTGCCTGTCTGTCTGTCACTGTCGGTCACAAAGCATCGAGACGGAGAATGCGTCTCATTGAAAATTGTTGACAGGTCTGTGGGTTTTTCCGAGTAACTGCATTGAATTCCTTTCCACGGTCAGCTCGGTAGTGCTCGTTTGTCACAGGAGAGCAGAAGAAAAGCCTCAATTAATGACTTTTATTTGACTGTCTCTGCTCGGTAGGCTGCTGCTGCGTCTTGACCCGGCCCCGGCAGATTATGAGACGGACACGGTGGAGATCTTTGGCTTCCCCTGGGTCACGGAGATGGCATTGGTGGAATCTACAAAGCCTCTTTTTGGTCTGTTCAGGTAAGCCGAGATGTCAAATCGGTTATGGTTTCTTTTTAAAACAAACCCGGTTTTGATGTTAATTTTTGTTGCCATAAAAGCGGATCAACCTAATCTGAATGCATTTTTCAATGGCACCCAAAGCTAATAACAGAATGGAGAGCCCTTTTTTGTCTGTTTTAAATACTATGCACTACGGGTCACTCACATCCATATCACTGGTCTTAGTGTCTTTCTTTTGTTATGTTTCAGACAAAAGGTTTACCGGCTGGAGTCCTTGGTGAAGTCCAGCTCGCATGACTTCGGTAAGTTTGTGCTTTATGTAATCTGCACTGTAGCAAATACTCAGACCTTTACTTTTCAGCATCCATTTCTTCTAGAAAAGGTGAGAAAAAACAACAATTGAACAGTTTGTCTTAACTGTCACAGTATCAGTTAGAAAAATGACTTAGATGCAAATAAGGTATCTAAGATTAACCGAGGAAGCGGCAGCAACAGATGTATATGTATAGATATATGTAAAAATGTGTGCATGGGTTCGCTCTTCTGAAGTTCGCTCACTAAAGAATCCGTTTCAACATGTTAGACTGTTGAGCTCAATTCTAAGAGTTTGTCATGTCTGATATCTGATGCTTTACATACGATTGAGAAATATTTCCCACAACTTCCCTCGTGTGTTGTAGGTCAAGCGGGAAACCTCCACTATGAAGCAGAGGATCTCAGACAGCAGTGTGTTTCTTTTCTTCAGTATGTCAAAGTCTTCCTGCACAGGTAATTTCACACATTCACTGTTAACATCAGTACCACAAACCCAAATGTCGCTGTCGCTACATTTTATTGCCGCTTTCACCTTGTTTGTTCATGTGGACATAAATCGTCCTTTTGCGTCTGTCCAGATACCTGGAACCCTCCGGCTCCCTGGACGCAGGTCCGTCGCACCCGTATGAAGAGCTGGAGGCTCAGTTCCCCTCTGCTCTTCTGGAGGAGCTGTTTGGCATCACCCTCCTCATAGGACGACTCAAAGACCTGCCAGCCAACGTTCAAAGTGCCTTCACAATACAAAACCCGGGAAAGGTGTGTGTGTGTGTGATGCGCAGTTGGAAAGGAGATCTTTTCTTTTAAGAGATATGACTGATGGCTTTTTTTATAGCCCTAAAGAGTCTCCTTATTCAGAACTATGCTTAAAGCGGATGTCCTACTACTGACATTAGAGCTTTATTTCTCCTCCAGATTTTCCCTCCCTCTTGGCATTTGTTGCACCTTCATCTTGACATCCACTGGTCAGTCTTGGAGATCCTTCACTTACTTGGTCACAAGATGCAAGGTAAGTGGACAGGAAGTAGACGACGCAGTGCAAATATAAAAATGTAATATTTCACTTATGTTGTAGAGATTTGTTGTACTTTGTAGTATTGGAATCTAGAGACATAATGATGGTCCACCGGCTGGTCCGTGGCATCGCAGTGGGCAGTAATCTCCTGACTTGCAGCTCATTTGAAACGTCATTAGCATGGAAACAGGCTTTTTAGTGCTTTTTTTTTTTTTACCTGTCCTCCTCTCCAGGCCAGGTGGTGTACGCCCACCAGTTTGTGAACCTGACGGGAGAGAACCTGACCGACACCAGTCTGTTTGAAGAGCACCTGTGCAGCCTGCTGTGTGACCTAACTGGTCTGGCCATGGGCAAATACAGCAAGGTGGGCGGCGGTCCGCCACTCATTAGCATCTCAGTTGAGATGTACCAGCAGTATTTCTAGGTCCCTTTATGTTTGTTTGTTTTTTTTAGCTCAAAAATAAAACCCATGCTGTATAAAATATGTTAATTCCAGCATTTAGTGCTTGGTTGATAGAAAATGGAAATAGGCTGCAGATGGCCCATGCAGAATATCAGTTTGGCTTCTGTGCCTTACCTCAGAGCATGATCCCTTTTTAAGGTGTAGAAGTACTGGACGATGACAATAACGTTAAAGCACACTTTTTGCATGATGAAACTATTTGTGTAAGCTCCTGGTGAATGGCCTTCATGTAGAACAGAACTGCAGTTGGGAGCGTACAGTGTTCAATGGATCCGGTTGATGTTGTAGGTGAGGCCTACAGAGGCCCTGAGCAGCTATCACCACCTGTGCTCCTGCACCAAAGAGCTGTGGGTCCTGCTTGTGCACCTTCTGGAACACCGGCACAAAGTGTTGCACACACAGGTGGGACAAACCGAGACACGTTCTCTACTCGCATAACGCAATGTGAGTCTTTCCATTCACAATCGGCCCGTGTCTGTCTTGCTGCAGTCTTTCTGGAGCTACATGAACTCGTTGCTGAGGCCGCTGGTGTCCGGGAAGCTAGCAGCAGAGCAGTTCGGTGGCCTCCCGACGCATTGTAAGGACCCTCTGGGGTTCACGTGGTGGCTGGTCACTCACGTCGCAATGTTAGGCCAGTACAGTCGGAGCGGCACCCTCCAGTACGAGGTAAGAGGCACAGAATCTTTCATTTCACATGATGATGTTGGTGCTTACGCGTCATACTCATGATGATGTTGGTGCTTACGCGTCATCATGTTGGGATTGTTTTGATTTTTTTGAAGTGAGTTGTTTCGGGATACTTATTAGCCGTGATTCCTACTGTAGATGCCGGTCGATACTGGTCGCCCCGTTGTAGACAATCAGGCAGGGATACTGGCTTCGGCACGTAGCCATGTACCGCCATCCACACGGCCAGCAAAACAATAAGAAGGACTTTAAGCCACCTAAAAGAAAGGACAACCACAAAAAAAAAAAAAATCTGTGTTTTCTATATTTAGAATAATTTCCGTGCTTTATCTTTCCGTCAACCTTCTTTTGGTCAGAAAAGAGAAGCCGTTCAATCCTTCTGTTTTCTATTCAGAGACACAGGATTATTTTAAAAACAGTGAGTAAGAGTAACAACAAGAGTAAGAACACAGGAGTTACTGGACTACTGCTGCATGAGTCTAGTGGCTTTGAAGAGAGCACAGATTATTAAGCTTCAGCTCATAGGAAAAGGGCTGTGTGATGAAGTATTCTTAATATGGGTACACTACAGTACAATTGATAAAGATATTCCTGGGTTCTAATGTCTAAATATATCTATATATATGGTTTATTATATATTATATATAGGTACAGGATACAACCCCAGTTCAAAAAATCCAAACTACCGCTATAATATATTTAGTTCGATATCTTTTTAAAGAATCTATCCTATTCTATCTGCACTCACAGAAACCTGTGGGGGATAATTGGACTTTTGTGGAGGAGTTGCTCAAAGTTACCTGCAACCCCAAGGTCAGTACTGCTTCAAATTCCATTCATTTTGTGCGCGCGTGTGTGGCTTTAGTAGTAATCGTGTGTATGTGTCTCATAACAGGGAGGTCTGCCAGAGGAGCAGGTCAGGATGCACGTCCACTGCTGCCTCAGTCTCTGCCTGCTGTGGGAGCCGAGCACCAGCGCCGTCTCCGTCCTCTGGGACTACTACAGCAAGAATCTGGTGAGGACCGCGGCATTACAGAGAAGTCATGTGGCACGTCGTCCTCCGTGTCCTCACAGACGCCTGCACAGTCTCCCTCACCAATCACGTTCTGTCCCTCCGTCCCAGAGTGCTTCATTCCTCGTACCCTGGCTCGGCATGTCCGGCGTGGGCACTTTGTGCAAGACGCCGATGGCCCTGTTGGAGCAGGCCCGCAGCTGCTGCTCGCCGGCTCCCCTGCGCTCCCCGGGACACACCCAGCTGTACCGCTCGGCCAGCTCCTTCCACGTCTTCCTCCGGGTGC